GCTTAGAGTTTCGCATTTGGCACCTAATCTTTTCAAGAAATAATATAAGTGGTCCAACTTCGCAAAATGGGGTCATTTAATCAGAAAATCGATCATTCTTCAAATATGACATTTAATCAGAAAATCGATCTAAAAATGAGACATTTGGTGTTTATCGATTTTTCAGGGTCGACGGGTTGTATGAAAAGCGAAGGCTGAGTAATTGAAAATTAGAGGATCGATGGTTGCTACTAATTACTTGTAACTGGTATTGGTTTCATATCGATGGATGTGGATTCGCATATGAAATCAATTGTGTTCGCATCTATGAAATCAGTTCGCATATGACATCAATTGAGTTCGCATTTGGTTTTGTGGGTCAAAACAGTTCGCATAAGAAGTTCACGATTTGTTTGAGGTTAATTGATTTTGATATCGCAAGCTTGGAGTCGGAGATCTGGATTGTGTTCGCATCTATAGAATGCGAGGAGAATTTAATGGTGATATTCAGTTCGCATTTGGTGACACAAGTACGTGGTTGATGATTTTTGGTTGGTTCGCATTTGAAATTAGTGGGTTTCGCATTTGGGTTCGTATCTGGGTTTCTCAAACAACTGAAATGCGAATATGAGACAACTGATTAATTTCTCAGTTAATGCGATGAAATGCGAATGAACTCAAAGACGGATGGATGCAAGATGCGAAGAATTTGAATGAAAATGCGAAGTTTTTAATGTATAAATGCGAATTGGGGAAGAAAGCTTAGAGTTTCGCATTTGGCACCTAATCTTTTCAAGAAATAATATAAGTGGTCCAACTTCGCAAAATGGGGTCATTTAATCAGAAAATCGATCATTCTTCAAATATGACATTTAATCAGAAAATCGATCTAAAAATGAGACATTTGGTGTTTATCGATTTTTCAGGGTCGACGGGTTGTATGAAAAGCGAAGGCTGAGTAATTGAAAATTAGAGGATCGATGGTTGCTACTAATTACTTGTAACTGGTATTGGTTTCATATCGATGGATGTGGATTCGCATATGAAATCAATTGTGTTCGCATCTATGAAATCAATTCGCATATGACATCAATTGAGTTCGCATTTGGTTTTGTGGGTCAAAACAGTTCGCATAAGAAGTTCACGATTTGTTTGAGGTTAATTGATTTTGATTTCGCAAGCTTGGAGTCGGAGATCTGGATTGTGTTCGCATCTATAAAATGCGAGGAGAATTTAATGGTGATATTCAGTTCGCATTTGGTGACACAAGTACGTGGTTGATGATTTTTGGTTGGTTCGCATTTGAAATCAGTGGGTTTCGCATTTGGGTTCGTATCTGGGTTTCTCAAACAACTGAAATGCGAATATGAGACAACTGATTAATTTCTCAGTTAATGCGATGAAATGCGAATGAACTCAAAGACGGATGGATGCAAGATGCGAAGAATTTGAATGAAAATGCGAAGTTTTTAATGTATAAATGCGAATTGGGGAAGAAAGCTTAGAGTTTCGCATATAAATGAAAGTACGATGCTATTCCTTGTATTTAGTTGTTTTCAATGCAAAGAATAAGATAAAATGGAAGTACGGTATTAGCTAATCTGCAATTGCATTCAAATATTAAGAATATTGATAATACCAAATGTGCAATTTGGGTTAAAAAAAACTTAACTTGAGCTTGTAAGGGGAGATAATTCTCTAGAATAAAATCACTCTTTCTTTTAATCGTGAGAATCACAATCAGTTGAACTGTTGAAGAGATGAAGTAACAGGTCGTGCTTCGAAAAAATGAGAGAGTGGACATCAAATGAAAAAATTATCCAAAACCTATAAATCAGATAAACTAAAACAACTTAAAATAATAATAAAATTCTTACAATCCAAAAACAAAACCAAGATGAATTAAACACAATAATCATAGTCAAGTTTTGAAATATATTGAATTAACTTGAACCAATATTCTGCACATTGGGTGTTAGACAATATACTCCTGCAAAAAACAATGTAAAACAAGCTCATAAATTGTGAATAAAATAAACAACTAACCCTAAAACTGGTTGGAAATAGTGTGTGCTGATCTCATCAAATAATCTGGCATTTATGAATAGCTCTAAATAATCTTAAACAACATAGGTGAGTGTAAGAATCGATATATCCATGAAACACAGAGTAAAATCATTATATGACAATTAAGTAAAACTAAAAAAAAAAACATGGAACAGAGAATTTGATAGAACTATTTACCTGGATAGTGGTGAAGATGGAGATGGTTAGTGAAGGCTTCAACGTTGGGGTTTAATTAGAGTGTGAATACAAAGATAGGGGAGAAGACAAAGATGGTAGACGATGGTGGTGAGGTCATGATAACAGTTCGATTTCTGTGATTTTCACCCAATTCATAACAAAAATTGTTATTTTTCTTGAAAACAAACATTAATTAAATGGATAAGGATTCAACAACTACAGTAAAATGATAGAGTAATAAGATATTTCCTTCATTAACTGGAGTCCATATCAGTACAGATAGTTGAAGATATACCTGAATTGATACAGATAGTTGAGAAATGTCAAAAGGACACAAATACCCTTAGTACCACTTAAACAAGAAAGCTTTACTCTAGATACACTTATACAAGAATATTTAATATACAAATGATTACCCAAAATGTAGACAAACATCAGAACCTGAAATGGAGAGGAAACACCGGAAATTGAGAGTAAACATTGACGATTATGTGATAAATGACTGAAAAGAACACTTTAAAATTGCTAACAAAAACCTGTATTGTTAGAGAACGTTTGTAAATTAATAGTGTTTGCCTCCTGGTTCTGCAATAGAGAGAGAGAGAGAGAGAGAGAGAGATGGTTGGAGACCTATGACCACAAAAAGAGAATATGATATGAAGAAAAAGATTCGTTCTAGACTTGACCGGTGCAATCGATCAAAATCAAATAATTAGAGAATAGAACAGTAGCATATGCTAGATGTCGAGAGATGGGGGTTGTGAACGGTGGTAAGATGAAGTGCGATGATGATGAAGGTGGCCTGTTTGATGGTAGTGAAGGTTATGTGACAACAAAGTTTACTGATGGTGTTGTGATGTTCGATATTCGGGTTTCTAAAGGAGATATGCAAGAGAAGAGAAAGGCAGAGGTGTTTAGCAGCGACTGTAATGGTCTCAGTGGTCAAGGTGTGGTGGGTAACTGCGTCGAATATGGGAGGAATTTTAGAGTATTTAATAGAGAGGGAGAGAGTTCAAGGAGAGAAGAGATGGCGACTCATCTAGGGTTATTCTACAAGGAAGGGCTATAGATACTAAGATAAGAGATGATATATAAAGTTTATCTATAGACCGATTCAATTGGCAAAATCTGAGGAAGACGGGTTCTTCTTTGACCAGTTCAATTTGAAGAAGAAAGCCAAAGCCTATTCAATATGTACGTAATTCATGTTAACCGCGTAAGATTTGGTATTTTTCTATGCATAAACTCATTGTAAATAGCGTAATAAGGGTTATACCTCTTAAAATTTAATATTATTTTATTAATGATTACTTGTACTAACAGCTTAATGGTTTGGACGTCTTAAAAAATATTATTATTATATTGAATCTATTTATGGAAATAGTTGGATTTCTATTATAAAGTAGTATAGATATATATATATATATATATATATATATATATATATATATATATATATATATATATATATATATATATATGCTATAAGTACCCTCTTAATCAAATTTACACCCTAAACTCAATCTAATCAATTTTTTGACATTTGATTTGATATCATTTTTTTGTTTATTTTCATTTTTTTATTTTATTTTTACATTTGATTTGACATCATTAAATTATATATATATATATATATATATATATATATATATATATATATATATATATATTGTCGGTCGATTTTAAAAACCGATTTATAAAATATAAAATAAAAAAGAATTAAAATCCGATTTTATAATGTCGTTCAAATTTACAATGTCGTCCGATTTATAAAATGTTGTTCGAAATTTATAATAACAATAATAATATTATTATTAAAATATATAACAAAAAAAAATTAAAAACCAATTTTATATTGCTGTTCGAATTTATAACGTTGTCCGAATTATAAATTTTTCTTCGAAATTAATAATAATAATAATAATATAAATTAAAAATGAATTAAAAACAACAAAAGAAAAAAAAAATCAAATTTAGTTTAGAGATTTTTTATATTGATCAATGATTTATTTGCATTTAACACTATTGGAGTGAATTGTTTTATTAGGTATTTATATTGACCACTCAATATATATTAAGTGGTCAATATAGTATAACATTAAATATTTAACCTCTTTTATTTTTAACATATTTTATTTTTACCTTTTAATTTAATTCTAATTTTAAATATTTTTCATTTATTTAACTACTTATTTATTTCTATCATAGTTTTTAACTTATGAAATATTTATATATTAATTTGTAATGATTAATTTAAAATATTTCATATTAAAATATAATATATTTAAAGATAATTAGTTAAATGAGAAAGTTTTTATGAACATTTTAAGATAAGAATCAATAAATAAAATTCATAAAAAAGATAATTAGTTAAATGAGAAAGTTTTTATGAACATTTTAAGATAAGAATCAATAAATAAAATTCATAAAAAAAACTATTAATAAAATTTAATTATTGGAATGCCTATTTAATTAGATGTAAATGATAGAGTTAGATTTACTGTTAAAGATGCTCCTATAAAACCTCATGCCAAATATCATGTTCAGATGATATGATTTTACATATCAATCAATAATATAATAAAATGTCATAACAGCCTATTTTGTCACATCAATCATTCATTCTATTATTGTATCGATTTATTTCATTCAACTAAAAATACGAATACCATTTTGTAAGGACTAAGGAGTATAAACTAAACCATCCTTCTTAGCCACATCTTTTCCCCAACCACCAAAATAGTACATACAATTTCACAATTTCTTGTCCAAATTAAATGGGAGGCTATCTAAACGTTGAAAGACCTTTCACCACCCCACCACCACCGCCAGCGTCGTCGCTTCCGCCTCAAAAGCCAAACATCCCCATGTTGTACTACGGTCTCGTGGTGGTAGCCACCGCAGCCATCGTCCTAGCTTTCTACAACCTCATCATCGTCCGATGGTGCACCATCCAGTACCAGCGCCGCTCACGAGAAAACCAGCTCTCTCGCCGCCGGCGAAATCCTACCAACACCATGTCTCCACCGCTCTCCCGCGGTGGCTCCGCCATATGCTTATTGTCAAGTTTCAAGTACAAGAAAGGAGAGGAAGGTAGTAAAAACCAGTTGGATTCCGACACTGAATGCTCCGTTTGCTTATCGGTTTTTGAAGATGGGGAAGAAGTGAGAAAATTGCCGATGTGTGATCACTGTTTTCATGTTTACTGTATAGACATGTGGTTGTACTCTCACACTGATTGTCCGCTTTGCCGTGCTCCGGTGGTGGAGCTGCCGCCTACGCCGCCGCCACCAGGATGAACTGAAAAATGGATAGAGGAATGGCGTCGGCATGTGGCTCCATGTCCATGTTTTATTTCCAAGATAGAAATTACTAAATTCAACACAATGTACAAACTTCATTGCGTAAGGTATTTTATTGCATTAAGGTGGCTGTTGGTTTTATTGCTCGAAGAGGTTGTTTTGAAGAGTATTTCAATATTGAGTATTCATGGTTCAATTAGGGTGTGTAAAACATTAATTAATATAATTATATGAATAAAAACAAAGCGTAAAAATGTAAATATAACTAAGTTCAAGTAAGTTTGTTAGCTTCATCTCGAGTAGCTTGAACTCAAACTCGATTTGAACCCCAAATCAGTTTCAAGCATCTTACAATTGATTTCAATAATCAAAATCAGTTTAATGTTGGAATAGTATAATTTGATCGTTTAATATATTCTGAAAGTGTAAATACGTAAAAAAAAATTAATGTATTTGATGGAACATACACTAGTTTATCCTTTATCAGTTATACTAATAATTTTATATTGTTTTTGCAATATAGTATCTATAACTTTAGAAAAGATTTTTTCTAATAAAAAAAGTGAAACAAAGTCGTGACAAAAATAGTATGTAACCGACGGACTAGTCATATATTAGAAAACGACTAGTGATTTTAATCACAACAATTAAGAAAACAGTTTCATAAAACATATCCAACCATCCCATTTCAATCTTTTGAGAAACGTATTCTCAAACTACTTTTTACCACCTAGTCACCTAGACCTACGAATTTAGAAAATACATGTAAAACATCCAAATAATTCAAAGAAAAAACACTATTAAACCACAAATTTTTAAATATTAGGCAACCATTACAAACTGTGTTCTTAGTTATTTTGAAAAAATTATCATAAGAGTAAATTACACGAATAGTCCTTATGGTTTGGGATGATTTACATGTTTGGTCCATAACTTATTCTTTTAAGTCGAAGAGTCCCTAAGATATGGTTTCGTTGTGTAGGTGGTTTCTATCGAACATAAAAAAACCATTTGCCCTTAATACATATTTTTGAATTATTTTGTTTATAATATAATTATTTATATTATACATTTATTCAAAAAATCATTTAATTTTTTTTTTATTGACCATGAACAACACTACAGGATCGGCCCTTGCCACGTTCAAAAGGTGCTGAAGAATAGGGCCCAAAAAATCGGAGGGCCCATAATTTTTATAGCTTTTATGTTAACCTAGGTTTGGTTGGCCCAAACAAATAAACATTAAGTTAATTTATCACCTCCTGCGCACCAGTAACCAGACAAGAAAGAGTGGAAAAAAAGAGAAAATTTCGGGAAAAGAAATATGCTTCGACTTCTGCAAAGCTATGAAGAATCTTCTTCTTTCTTCTTTAGTTACACTTGGGACAGGAATTTAAAGTGCAAGTGTATTGTTTGCTTAAATCTGCAAAGCTATGCACAATCTTCTTCTTTCATCTTCTTCACAAAATTCTGATTTTTGAAACAAAGTTTCAAAATACAAACAATCCTACAATCTTTCTGAAAAATCAGAAAACTTGTTCTTCATCTCTCTCTGCTCGAAAATCAGATTTCGTGTTGTAGACTTGTGGTTTCGAAATCAAAAGGAGAAGGACAAAAGATATGGATTAAGGTATTTCTAATTACTTGACTTGTGGACTTTCGTTTCACGTTCTTTCTTTTTCATCTACTTGATTTTTTTATTTCTAATTTCTGAAAGAACAAGAACTGAGTTTTGAAAATCGGAGCAACAAGAACATTGAGCACACTAGTTTTGAAAATCAGAGGGAAATGCATTCAGGAAGTCGAATTTTGAGTTTTGAAGGTACAAGCAAATCAAGTTCTATTTTTTTTTTTTTTTTCGTTTCAAGTAAGTTTCTGATAAGTTTTGAATGAGCACAACAATTTCTGTTTCGTTTCTAATTAAGTTTTAAGATGTAAATCAGTTTCTGTTTCGTTTCTGTCTTTCTGCTCAAGTTTTGATTTGATATCAAGTTTGTTTTTTTATATAGTTTTGATACTCTTTCTTGTTGATTTAAAGTGATGAAAATCATAATGTACCCTTTATTCGTTTCCGATCTATTTTTGATGTGTTTCTGATTTGCTATCCGATAAATTTCTGATATGTTGCTGATAAATTTATGATTTGCTATCTAATAAGTTTTTGTTGTTTTCTTTACAGTTTCCACACCCTTTGTTGCTTGAGTTTCAACATATAGAACCAAGATTCCAAGAAGAAATATTAGGAGGAGGGCTCTTTTCAAAAAAGAAACCAATTTCTTTTTTGTGTATTATTTTGAATGTAATTTTAATTTTATGTATATGTAATGGAAAATTAAAGTTTATAATTTTTTGCTTAAATTTTAGGATCCTTCAATTTTTAAGGCCTATTTTTTATTAAATCGTATGGGGCCTCCAAATTCGCAGGGTCGGCCCTGGACACCACCTCCATCATCAACCAACATCACCTCAACAATCACCACCTGACACTCTCGGTCCTTCACAACCGACGACCATTTCCGGCAACCAATTTCCTCCTTTCTCCCAAAACTATTGAACCTCGTAAAATCTAAAAGTTAATTATGTTTGTCCAAATCCATTTCTGAAACCTAAAACTAAAAAATCAACCTAAAACCCAAATTTATTGATCAAATCCAATTATGAAACTTGATTTAAGCAAATATAAGAACCGGTGTCACTTCCCAATCAAACTATTTATATAAAAACCAAAAAAGAATCCAAACCGTCTAACATTACAAAATCGATAAAACTTGATGTGTCTTGGTCCTAAATACGATCTACAGGGAGGAAACTTGAGATACATTCCTAACTTCTTTGGTTTCCTCCTTTAGATTTGGTGTTTCAGATCTATCAATTTGAGCCAAGAGGAAGACTGTGGACATTGAGAAGGAGATGATGAACCTTCATTCGAAATCCGTGGGTAAAAAAGGATTGTCAACGATAATTGGCATGAAGATGGTCGTTGGCTGTGGAAGGTATGCCGATGTCGACGAGGGTAAAGGGGTAGTTAGAATCTACTTAATGGTTCAAGATAGAGAAAGAGGAAAATGGCTCAAGTTTGTCTTGTCATGTTTGGTTCGAGAGACTGCTTCATGCCTGCTTCTCCGGCAACGTTGTCAGGGCGTAGAGAAAGAGGCTGCTTCTTGCCTGGTACATGAGCTGGTGGGAAAAAATCAAACATAAATCGAGCCATCAACGGTGCTGAGGGCGTCGACGATCTTGTGTCTGCCTCATGTTCGCTTCTTCGGCAACATTGTCTGTATGTAGAGAAAGAGGATGCTTTATGTCTAGTTTGTGAGCTAATGGGAAAAAATCAAACAAAAATCGAGCCATGGTTGATGGTGGCGAGGACGTCGACGATCTTATGTTAGAGGTAGACAGTGATATGATAAAAGAGGTCGACTACGCGTCGGTACAAGACGGTGACGGTGGTCTGATAAAGGAGGGCGACCGTAGGCCAATAGAGGGTGGCGACCTGTGTTTGATGATTTAGGGTTTGATATGTTAAAGAAGAAAGATAATATATATGGCTTAGTGTAGGGATGTTGGAGATAATTAATTATTTGTTTTTTTTAATTGATAAACAAATATACTAAAAAACAAAAAATATATAAGGGTAAAAATTGTCTTTTTGTGTCATGCAGAAACCAACAACGCTGTATAAAACATATAATAAAGACTAAATAAAATTAGGGAGCAAATGCAAAAACTCTCTTATGATACCATAAGGACCACTAGCACATATTCCCAAAACGATAAGGACCACTCATGTAATTTACTCTAATAAATATGGTTTTATCTTCATTTGTGATTTAATCAATTGACATGACCAAATATCGACTACAGACTAGAGTCAACAAATAGTCTAATCTACAGCTGCTGCTGAGATTGAAAATTTTGACCTATTCTACCTTAGGATAAGTAGGTGGTTTTTATTTTATTTTTAAAATGACAAATATTTGCAACAAACTTTGATACCATAGTCAATACAAGTTCACAAATTCCAAATTTTTACAAAGCATCATATTATGTGAAATACTCTTTTTAAGTTGTGAATATGATAATAGTTACATTCTTCTCAAATTATCTAACCTCGCCTGTAAATCACTATCAATCCCACCATCATCACCCGCCCCCGCAGGTGCTTCCGCCTGCGCCACCTTCGTCTTTGCCGCCGGGACCGACACCGCCCCCGAAGGTGCATTCATCAACTGCAAATTTCAAAACATTTCATTAAAAAAAAAACATTTATCTATTTAAAAAAAAAAACATTTATCTATTTTTAAAACCTACCTCTTGATTAATATCGATACCAATTTCATCTAAAACCTGGCTCACGAGCTCTTCGGTTTCATCTTCTTCCTCATCACCTTCCAAAGCATCATCAATGGCATCACCCATGACTTCACTTACCATTTCCATTTTCTCATTTTGTCTCTCAAATTCTTGCATTATTTTCTGCAATGATGGAAGGTTCATTTGTCTGTTCATTTGTCCCATTGCTTTTGTCACTCCTTTCATCGCTTCACCCATTGCTTGTGTTGACTTCAATGTCTGATCAAACATTCAAATTAATAACCCTTAAGAAATAACAACATTAATTTTATTATTATATACCTGAATTCTTAGGGATACACCCTGCAACTGGGATTTAAGCTTGTAAAACTTTTCAATTTGGTGTCGTGTTCTTATAAGGTCTTTAGCCATCACTTTCACAGCTCCCTTAGAGTGAGGAAAAAAAAAAAAAAAGAGTAGTAAAATATCAAGTTCAAGAGTCAAATAAATAATCATTAGAATCAAACTTACCATTTGACCTTGTTTGGCACTTTTCTTGATTTCAACAATCAGTTTCTTCTCTTGTGTCTGCAAACCTTGTCTTTCTCTTTCGATTTCTCTTATGGATTTATCAAGCATTCTCTTGTTCTCCCGTAGGAGCTCTGAAAGTGCCAATTATATCTTATTTCCAGAAACCCAAAGTTTTATAAATACAATTATCAACCGAAAATAGTGAATTTAAACATATAAATTGATCGTTGTGGGAAGTTGCATGATCCCCCTAAAACACAATTGCATGATCCACAAGCTTGTTCCAAATCAGCCATTCTCTCCCTAAGCAACAGTTCTAAGTTTGAAAATCCATGATTACTACTGGGAGAATAGAACGATTTTGTTTTTATCAACAGTAATCATACTGAAAACCATAAGAGTTTGAAAAATATAATTAAACACACTTCTTCTATTCTGTATACTAATTCATTATGTTTCACCTAATCCATTTATCCCCAACTTGAGGTTTGACCTAATTCGTATCATATTCAAGCAATTAACAGAAATTCGATCAATAAACCTAAATAAGACTAGTAAATTCCTACGATCAGGGTAAATAAAGTGACGATCCTAATCCAACTGGCGAAATTCGATAGCAGATCATCATAGTACTAACCAAATCGCAGATTCCTACAATAACATTTAGATCCAACACAAAACCCAATTGAATAAAGATACAATATAAAACATGGATCAAGCGTACGAACCAGCGGGTGTTTTCTTCTTGCCGAATAGGAAACTCATGGTGAAATTAACGATCGAAAAAGAAAAATCCAATAAACCCTATAAACAACTTCTCGTTCTTGCTAACAAAAACTTGTGCGTTTGCTTTGTGTACAAGGATTTTGGGTTTCCTTTCGGGGCTTTTTGATCGATTGTTGTGTGATCACTACGCGTTATCGTGGTGGTCAAATAGCGAATAACACGCAGAAGGAAGAATATTATGCTAATTTTGTTATCTGCGGCTGAGGATTGGATTGGAGCTAAAAGAACCTTCTTTTGTGAGATGGATCAATGAAGTAGATAAAAGCAGGCTATAGTATTGTTATGTTTAATAAAAATTAGGCCCATCTGTAGTCCATTATCCATTAGTATTTATAAAGATATTTATAAGTTACAACTAACAAAGAAATCCTTAATTTTGTATTGACATCTTTTTTTATGTTCTTTTGTGTGCTAGAATCATGCAAAAGAAATTCTTTCTTTGAGCTTGATATAACAAAAACAGAACATGGAAATATTTCTGTTTGGCATTTAAGGTAGATTTTTTATAATAAAAAAAAGGGTATACTAGTAAGCGAATAATCTAATTAGTATAATGATTTTGGTCGTTGGTATTTGAATATACTTTGAGAAACTTTTTGACCAATCCGACTCATTTGATTACCCTTTAACCTTTGAAAAATAATCCAAATAGACCAATTTTTGAGATATCTAGGTCGAAATAGTCGTTTTGTATAACTACATGGATTAAAAAAAAGACCATTTTTTTGGTAAAGGAGGGCAGGAACTCCATTAGAATTTTATTAATAAAAAAGAATAAATATAATAGTGGGTTGGGGACATACCTACAGATGACAAAAATTGACACGATACGAAATAAACAGGTTTGAGTAAAATATTTCAACCCGTTTAAACAAACGGGTTGAAACGACATGACACGAAAATTAAATGGGTAAGGTTAGGGTTGAAAATTTCAACTCGAATATGACTTGAAAATGATCTGTTTATTTATATGCAGGTTTTTTGAATTATTTAAATAATCTAGAAAGATACAAAATCAAAATCATAAGTAAAAGAAAACATCAAATTGAATTGTTTTGTAATGTTGAAAGGACTTAGTCGTCTAGATCAAGACTTCATTTAAGTTTTTCCATTCTCTCCCAAACTATCCAGTTTCTTTTACCACTCTCACATCCTCATGACCTTGTCATCCGCCTCCCCAACTCCAACTCTTTTAATTTTGTCATCTGAACTTCCTATGACTTCATCTATTCTGCCTCCAAATTATTAATTTTTCCTTTCCGCCTACCCAACACATACTCTTTCAACATGCTCAATCTTTTAACCTCACATGACACGACATATTTCAAGTTATAGCCATAACCCGAAACCCGACACGAACTCAATATGAAAATAACCAGGATGACACGACACGACACGTTAATTAAATGGATCGGGTTAGGGTCAAGCACTTTCAACCCGTTTAGTGTTTCGACACGACACGAACCCAGAACAACACGACACGATTGCCACCTCTAGACATGCCACTTGTAGAAAAAAAAGTCCTGACATATAGGTCTCAGAGACCAAAACAACCTAACTACTAACTAAAAGAGAATCTAAAAGGGGAAAGAAGATGCTCTAAACCCTAATGCAAAACATAACTAACAACAAATATGAAAAAAAAAACGTTAGATACAAAGTCAAGGCGGGTGCTTAGTGGTAAATTGAATAATCATTTAAATTACAAAGCATAATAACCCAAAATTTTCATTTAAAATTTTTTAATGTTATTCAATTCACAACTACGAAAATCTTAGATAAAACCATTTAACTTAAAATATTTATTATAGTATCTTCAAAAGTTACCATGTGCATAAAACTCTCATGGATGCGATGCAATCAAGCTGTGTCCTTCATTTAATATAAGAACACCTGAAAATATTTAAACCACAAATCGTAAGCACAAAGCTTAGTAAGTTACCTAATATACCACATACAACACAACACAAATAAACAGTTATTTGTTATAAGCAACCTTGGGGACTACCAAAAGTTATAATGGGCAAACAACATGCACGGTGGGTTATCAGCAACCCTAGAGACTACTTGAAATCTCAGTGGACAAACAGCATGTCCTGTGGGTTATCAGCAACCTTGGAGACTACCCGAAGTCTCAGTACACACTGTAACACATATCACAGTAACAACAAATAAGACCCAATTGGTCAACATGTATATGTACCACACATGCAAGTATAGTGCAAAGACTCACCTCGCACAAAAGACTAATAGAACTCACATCCAAATTGCCGGAACTAGACTCCGCCTATTAATTGTACCAAATAAACCTAATTAACAATTAAGGAAATTCTCCATACTCAACTAGTCCCAAGCCAAGTCTAATCCATAATTTGGGCAAAAGACCATTCTACCCCTCCAAAGACCAAAACCCTTACAAATTGACCAAAAAGCACAATTGGCCAAAAAGTCAAAGAAAGTCAAAGGTCAACACTTTGACTTTACGCACGACATACTTAGATCTACGTTGAGCGTAAAGCACAAAGCTAAAAGAAAACGGGGTCACAACTATGTAGCCAGATTTACACTCAACGTATAATGCCTTACTCAAAAACCAATTTTCAAGCTCTTAATCATTAAGAGACTTTACCCCAACCTTATATATGACCTTACAAGACATCCTAATCAATAAATTATATGACTTTATGCCTTTGCAGAGCTTAATCCCAAAACCCCATCTTCTAACATCACCAAAAACTCCATAACTCATGCATAGATGAAAGGAAAGGACCCATCTTGCATTTTTATGACACCATGCACTCTAGAACGTCTAAAAGGACAACTCAAATTCTTTGGAGCTTCTCTTTCCCTTTCCATAGATATAAAGAACGTCGAAATCGAACTTAGAACGAAGAAGTTATGGTCTTCGGAAGATTAGTGGTTTTAGTCCCTAGCCGAGTACGTTGGGCGTACTCTAGAAGTATGTTGGGCGTTTTGGCTCGATAATCGGATCACGGAGGCACCCATGTACGCAGGTTGTACATGTAGGTACACTGTCGGTACGATCAATAGGGGCAAACCCTAATTTTTAGGGTTTGTGCCATATTTAAATACCTGAAGTTGCTCTTAGACTCTCATATGACCAACATCCACCTCTCCAAACCCTAAGAATAAAACCTTAAGTTCCATTTAAGTTTTTTGAGCTTAAAAGTGAACTTTGAGGGTGTTTTTGGTGATTTTTAAGGAAGAGGAGCTCTTAGAAGTTGCATTGGTGTGGCTAGAACTTGTGGATCCAAAATCATCATCAACTTGGAAGGCTCTTTGAGGTATAAAGCTCTTTAATTGATGGTTCATTTTTTTAGATCTAGTTAGGGATTGTTTTTGTGCTTTTTATGGTCCTTTAAGTCATGCATGAGATTATGAGCTTCTCCAAAAGATAAGGATGATAGATCTTGGCATTTTTGAGGTCCCTTGTTCATAAAGATGCAATCTTGATGAGTTATAGTGGACCATGCATGAGTTGGGGTTCTTATTATGGATTTTATTGAGTATTGGGTCCCACTAAGACATGCAAAGGAGTAAAGCTACCAAATTTACATGTTAAGACATCATTTAGGAACAAATATAAGAATTAGACATAATAGCTTAACCGATAAAGCACTTAATGGCGAGTTGGGTTGGCAGTGGAGTATGTGGGGCGTACCTAACTCGTACGCAACGCATATTAGCCAAAGAAGGCATACTTTGGGCATAACTCAGAGTATACGGGGCGTACTCAACTACAATTGACTTGTGTTGACTTTTGCGATTTGGGCCGTATTTGGACTATTAGGGTTTTGGGTCTTGTTGGGATAATAGTCTTTCTAATTTTGGTTCGTTGTTAGGCTTTGGTCCTTCTTGGATTTAGACCCATAGTGGGCTTTGGGTTTCATTTAGGAATTTGGGCCATATTAGGCTTTTGGAGACATTAGGTTGGGCCTCGGTTATTGGGTCAAGTAAGGAAAGGGTAAAATGGTCTTTTGCCCTTGGAGTTGGACACATGAATTAGTTTCCTAGTTATGGTTTATGTACCAATTATTAATTGGGGTTTTATTTGATTGATTAGCATGGGAATTATCCAGATCAGCAGTCCAAGCGTTTATTTGATTTCATCGGTTTGAAGTGAGTCTCCTCACTGTGCTTGGTGGGTCGAAAGCACTAATATCGGTCCATGGTTTATTATGATTAGGGTGCTAGTTGTATGTGTGACTCTTGCATGATTAGTATGTGATATGTATACTAGGCGAGGTCTGATGTCAGGCGAGGCCTGATGGGTGTATTGTATGATATTTATCATAGTGATTCTTGCATGTGTTTATATGTCTATATGAATGTCTGGATGGGCTCAATGCCATGTGGGGCCTGAAGAAGTGATGGACAGGGTCCATCTCATGTTCTGACAGATATGTACTGAGCGCGACTCGATGGTTGTTTGGAATGGCTCATTATATGTTTAATATGTATGGTATGGGGTATTTTGGGGAACTCACTAAGCTTCATGCTTACGGTTTTCAGTTTATGTTTTAGTTACTTCTGAATCGAAGGGGAAAGGCTTGGGATGATCACATTGTACACATCATGTTGTTTTGCATTTTGTTGACTTGATGTATTTGGATGATTATTGGCATACTCTGGTTTTCTTTTATGGTTTTATGAACACATTTTGGATGATGGTTTTATTATCATAAAAATAAAAGTTTTGGCCTTAAATTTAGGACGTTACAAGTTGGTATCAGATTCTTGATTTGATGGATTTAGGCATACTCTTGGGTGTGTCTGAACTCATATTGAGGGTTTGGTATATTTTTATAAATAAAAAGTTTTATTAAAGGATTTTCTAATAAAAGAAAAGGGGTGTGGTGCGTGCAATCAGCCGAGCTCAAGTAAGTGATTCCCAAAGTACAAATACATGTTTGTTATGTTATATGTTATGAGAATTTCATGCTAGATTAGGGATAAGGATATGTTCAGGATTTCATGACTAGGAGAGATGCCTTTATATTCGTGATTGTTTGAGCTTTTAGAACTGCATGATAGTATGAATTTCAGATGATTGGATGGATTGGCCTGATATGTAATGCCTTGTAGCCTGAGTGGATTTGGATGTTATACTAGAATTGAAATCTTTCTTGGAATGAAGTGAGCTTGAGATGCCCTTTGTTTGGTTGTAGCTTGGAGTGTTACTGCAAGAATGTTGCTTGATTTGTGCTTTGTGGGACTCTTGATGATTTGACCCTATTAAGTGATGGATTATATAAGCTTTGTTG